GAGAAATCTAACCCCATGATGGACGAAGGTCAAAAACCATCCCTAAGGATCACCCGGATGGACCTCGCACAGACAATTCAACAGGACTCCTCATCCAGGCCAGGCAGATAGCAGAAGCAACCCTAATCTTTGATATGTGGCCGACACCTCCCGGTCAACCCTTTGGCTATGGCCACCCGGATCATAAATCAGCTGAAAGTCTTTTCAGTTGTTCGACCTTACAACTATGAATTACCCGAAATATCCCATACCGTACCTACTTTATTAGGGTACAGATGTAATCTTACAGTTCTAATTTCTATATATATGAGCTCATTACATGAATAAATGCTACACAATTTTATTGTTCATTACTATGCTCACTAAGCTCTTTTCTTCCTTTGTCACACTCTATTCTTTAGGTGTGTCTCCCGAACAAATTTGTATTCAACAACTCTTGATACATCTGAACATACACAAATATAAAGAGTACAACTAGTACAATGTGTACATGTATAAAGAGCACATCATCCGAACCTTCGCACAACATTTTCTTTTCCCTTGGCCCATGCTCTCCATCCTCCAACCCTAGAAGAAATTCCCTCCTCTCCTCTTGATTAATTTGAGATTTTTACTAAGAAGAACTTAACCTCCAATTTCAATTAAAAAGTTACTGAGAGCTAAAGACAAAACATCCATGCAATCACACATAAAATTAAAATAATTGCCATGAAAATTAAATGCAAAAGGCAGTAACAAGCATACAAAATTCTTATTTTGGCCAACTTATCCTTTTCATAGAATTACAATATAAATTAGGATAATTAGCTTATTAAAATATGCTTTTTATTTTAGAAAAGAGTTATAAATATTTTAATTTACCTGTGCAATATAGAAGTTGATGATGCCATATCAAACAATGTATATGGAGCAAACACCTACCTATGTTGCTTAGGGGCAAAACTACAATGTTTGCTCAAGAATATCATAAATGGATTCAAACAAAGCTCACAAGCTTGTTTTTAAAATTCTGCAAAATTCAAAGTTGGGCTGAAATTTCTTTCATCTTCCTCAGGCAACACCAGTAGGCTTGATCATATTAATTATTTGGAAGATTTAGATACATACCCGTCAATTTTTATGTATTTACATATCTAACACAAACTTCAATTATTCACATATATGTCCCATTATTACCTATGCATAAAAATGTATATTTCACTTTCTATGCGATATTTAAGATTTGTGTTATATATTAAAAGCAAAGTTCTAAAAACAAAAGAATTGGATGGTATGTATGTAAATCTTAAAAGCAAAGTTTTAAAAACAAAAGAATTGGATGGTATGTATGTAAATCCGTCTAGTTATTTTTGTTGATAGCATCTTACTAAGAGTGATAAATACATCTCTGAGGTGAAAAATTTTGCAAAAGTGTATGTCACTAAAAATCTCGAACTACCAAGATTTGTAGTCAAAAGTAAACTTTTAGTTTTCTATGGCCCTTGGCTGCATAATGAATCACTGCTTGAGTTGTATGGTGAGCAAGTCCTCACTTGGTTTCTTTGCCCAAAAAGCAGTAGGTTATCTGAGATTATTACAAGTGGCTATTGGAACCTCCCTATCTCACAGTCCATTCCTGTAGATTGTCCAAAAGATCATCCAAATCCCCATCTAGAACTCAGGCTCTAACTGATTATGACTTCTTAAGGATTTCTTTTCTCACAAAAACACTTGGCCTTTCTATATATAAAAGACAAAATGAAGTTGCATGGCAAAATACGCTTCTATTGCATAGAAAATTCTCAACATAAGGCTGAGAACCAGAGATGTCCTCATCTCTAGAGGTATCATAATAACCCCTCATATGTGATGTGTAATTCTGAAAGTAAGACTCCTACCCACCTATTTTTAGAATGTCACCATATATTTTATATTCTTAAACACAACATCCCTTATGGTTGCTACTTTCATAATGATTGTACAATGAATCAGGTGTTCATTTATGCTTAATCTATTAGCTGCAAAATTTTAGGATTTTTTTTCCTCTTTTGTTAGCCATATCACCTTCAAATTCATCTGGAAAGAGAGGAATTCTAGAATTTTTAAAGATGCCTCTGACCCCATTCAAGCCACTCTGCATAAAAAAAGATATGTTGTCAATGAGAAAAATAGAAAATGAAAATTTAAAGGTGATATCCCACATAGAATTAAAGAGCTCTATTGCTTATTCAAATGAAGGTGGTTGAATTTATGGTTTTCCACTCATTTTTTGGGGTTTATGTTCTTTTCTTATGATTTCTCTTATTGAAAATCCCTGTAAAGCTTTCAACTGTTTTAACTTTAATTTAGTTAGTCACTTTAGTTTTCCTGGTTACCTGTTATATCACACTTTTTATGAGGAACTCCGCATTTTGCTTGTTCTCTTGCTGTCTCTTGATATGATTTCCACTGACTATGATACTAGTCACACCTCTTGAAGGCTTATTTTGATCTGGCATTTTTATGGGAATCCTGATTTTTCTGCACCTCACATTTTTCTATTCTTCTGGTTTAAATTGATGACCGATGAATTCAACCAGATGCATTGGCACTTGGAAGGAGTTCACTTATGTGGACTTTTGGTGTTTTGGAAGAGCGAAGTGATTATTACGACTCAATCAAAAGGCTCTACCAGTTATTATCAGAAGATGAATTCACTATAAATCTTTTTTGAGCGGATTCTTCTACTTGATCTTGCAAGTGCAGGATCCTCTCGTATATTTTTGTTATAGGCTTTGTTGCCTCTACAGATACTACCACCTGATCTTTTGCATTCTCAACGTGCTGGTGCCTTGCATTGATCATCCTCTCTCTCTGGATGGAGCCTCATTTTTTACATTTGTTATATTTTCTAAGCGAAATGAATATATCCGTGATAGGCTTGGTGTAGCTCCTGTGACAGACAAAATTAGAGAAAGTTGTCTTAGATGGTTTGGTCACATTAAGCGTTGACCATCTGATAATCCAATTAGAAGAGTAGAGGTTTTAGATTCGACTTATGTTAAGAAAGGCAGAGGTAGACCTAGGAAGACATGGGCTTATTGTATAAAAAATGATCTTAATTTATTAGAACTAAATGAAAATATGACACTAAATAGGACGCAATGGAGAAAAAGGATTCATGTAGCCGACCACACGTAGTGGGATTAAGGCTTTGTTGTGTTGTTGTTGTTGTTGTTGTTGTTGTTGTTATACTGTCTAAGCTCTTCTTTGTTACCATTATTTTCACAAGTTTTATGATGTTTTTCTTTATATTGTAGCCCATTGTTGTGTTCTTTTGTTGATGCTGGACATATTTTTTGGGTCTAATCAGCTCCCTTTTCCTCTTTTCGTTGTTTTCATTATTTATTTAATCATAAAAACTGTCTCCACAATAAATCTTATTGACATAAACCGAAAAATTCAATAATAACAAAATTTATCTCTTAGATTTCGGCCCATTTCCCTCTCCAACCACTCCAATCCATGGTAAAATTGCAATATTTACAACGTTATATTAGATTTTTAAACATGCTCATGATAAGCAAATGAATATTCAAAATAACAGTTTTAAAAACATTAAAATTCCAAAATAAGATAAGCGCATCCACCTGATATAATATTTTTCTACCAGAAGCAAAACTGGATAACTTTAGATACTTCATCCAAACCATGGAATTCAAATTACAATAACAATATGACATTTTTGCAGATTATTTACAATCAAATCAGCAGCATACAGAACACGACATTAAACAACATGAATGACACAAAGTAGACAGCATTCAATCAATTCACATGTACAATATGGGCGGCAGACACCATCAAAATCAATTTTTTGTGTTTTGAAGAGATTGGAAACCACAAATGGTAGGAAAAGTTCTCCTTTATAATCTTTGATTTCAGAAGCAAGAACTTACCTTTAACAACTTAAAAGAAGTTACCAATTCTCCTTGATGATTTTGGACTTCTCAAGTATGTATTTGCCTTCCTTGTACTTCTGAGTCTCCTCGTAAGCTCTTTCGTACTTCCAACCCAAAACCTCACGGCAATCGCGACAATAGATATCGGCGACCGTGTGAAGTCCGGTCATGAGCAGTCGATCTTCCTTTGGGCCCAAAACTATGTTCATTGCATGAGAAAACAGAAAAGCTCGACCCTTTCTTCCCTAAAGTTGGGTGGAAAGAGAGGGACAAAGAGCAATGAACATTCAAATTTAATTAAATTTTATTATATATATATATATTTTTTACAACCAGCATTCAATTACTCAAGTATAATTATGAATAAAGTGGATTGTAATCGTTCTGAAAAGCAATAAAATTCTAGCAAATGTGTTAATATATACTCTTGTAAATAAAACCCTACTAATAACTCCTGGCCAAATTTGTTTCAGAGATTAGAAAAAAAAAAAAAAACGTTTTTTTGAGGCTTTTATATACATACCACCCAATTCCTACATATTTACATATCTAACACCTAAACTTTACTTCATACATTTACCACCCAAATTTTTCATATCACATCTAGATACCACTATTTTAACTTTTAAAAAGCAAAATACACCTTTAAATGCACCGGTAAGGTGACATGTATGTAAAAATTGAAGTTTAGGCCTCACATATGTAAAGACATACAAATTGAGTGGCACGCAACAAACTCTTTCTTTTCTATTTTTTTGAAAATTACATATCTCACACCTAAAATTTTATATTTACATAACACATTGGCCCTTTAAAACTATGCATAAAAAGGAGAATTTGATCTTAAAAAAGTGAAAAAAAAGAGTTACTTTTGATGTGATATTAAAAATTTAAGTGTTGTGCGTGCAAATATGAAATTTTAGGCGTGAATTGTGTGCTAAGCAATCAAACAAAAGAAGTGAAAAAAAAAAAAAAAACGCCAAAATAATGAAGAAGTTAGGCGATTCATTAACCTGAAAGGCTTTGGAAATAACATCGTCATGAAGGCAAACGTGGTTTCGGCAGTTGCAGCAGCCATAAATACGGGGACCAACCAGTTCAGCCATCAGACCTCCTTACCTATTCCAATTAGAAAAGATCAAGAATCAAAATCTCAAGCTAATAATTTGCACAAAAATACACCAAATAATTGCAGAATTCCATCACAAACACCACAAAAACATCAACAACAGAATCACATGCTAACATTAGCAGAAGAAAACACCAAATAATAGAAAGCCCTAAAGATTGATTGCAGAATTCCGTCCCAAAGATAAGCAAACAAAACCTAACAGAAGAGAGAGAAAGAGACCACCTTTGCTCTCTCTCTCTCTCTCTCTCTCTCCTATAGAGAGCGAATTCGATTGCTTATCACGCAATTCCTCACAAGAATTCTTACGAGTAGTCGAAAGAGAAAGGAAAGCGCTTGGGGAGGATTTATAAGATAAACTAATTGATAACAGCAACGGAGTCGGTAGGTTAGATAGGTGGAGACGAAGCACGTCACCCTGATGTTATTGAGAGATTACATAATCATCAACCAAAAACTAAAAAAAATGGAACATTCTGAAGTAATTTGAAGCGGAGAAAATATAGAATCGAATCAAATCAAATCAAAACACGCACAGAATCTGCCGTCAGAGTGATGCAGCTCACTATGTGGACTCAAACGACCAAAAACAGGGCAGTGAAACGGATGAAAAAGGGCTAGATTGTGATGGAAAGAAGGGAAAAGGGGAAGCTTTTAGAAATCACTTTTTCTGACCTGAAACAATATTTCATGGGAACAGGCTTGCGGCGTGGGTAGGCGGCCAAAGGGGAAGGACCAGGAGTAGGGCCGCCGCCCACACAGTGTTACGAGTAAAATTGCTCTAGGTTCAAAATATTTTGGCGTTATTTTTTCCTTCGATTGTTAAAAAATCCATTTTTTTAGTTCATATCACTCAATTCTAATATATTCCCTCTTTTTAGTTATGGGTCTGAACTACGGAACAAGAGCAAGTCCAGACTTCACCCACGTTTAGCTCATTAAAAAATATTAATGTTCAAATTTGACTCCTTTTTTACTCAAACAAAAGAAAAAAAATTATTCGTGTTCAGCTCATTTATTTAGAGAGTCGAGTTGTTCACAAATAAAGAGATGTTTGAACAACCCTAATTCCACAGTAAAAGTGGGATGTTAACGATTGCGATAAGATTTAAATCTTATTATTTATATTAAAATATCATTTAAATATAACTTAATGTATATACTTCTATTTTTTTAATTAATAATTTTACTTTATTATAGATCTTTATATTCTTGCTGGCAATTAAACTATTTAAAAACACTACTCATCAATTATATATATATATTGATGAGTAGTATTTCAACCCAAAATGAGCTGAACACGAACAAATAAATCTTTGTTCGTGTTCTGCTACAGAAGTGTTCATGTTTGACTCATTAACTTAGTGATAAATTGAACACGAGCTTCTTAACAAACTGAACACGAGATGTTCGTGAACGAGACATTTTGACGGTCCTAGTTTTAGTCCCAAGTTTATGGAGTAATATTTTTGTATGAAAATAACTTCATGTATATGGTCAAAAATCATTATTATATGAAAATAAATATCACACTTTTGAAAAGTTAGCATAATAATATTTTTAATGTGATATAAAAATTTTGAGATATAGGAATATAAAATACAAACTCTTAAGTGTTAGATATCTAAACACATAAAAATTAGGTGGCAAATGCCTCTTAAAATTTAATTTTAAAACTCATTAATTCTTTAAATGTAAAATGGATTCCAATTATTTGGATCTAAAAATCTCTAATTATTGAAATCTCACTCGATCATAACATAACATCTTGTATATGAGAAGATATCGTGTCGTCTCTTCACATTCGGACAATAGCCCGAACGAGCAGCTTACTTGTGAATGCATAACGGTGTTATCGCATTTGGGCCTTTGTCAAGATTTTCGGCAACCCATACTCAATTCATTTTCCTTGGATTGAGTCAAAGCTTTCAACCAATAGGCTTAAAAGAGAAACCATCCGTTCTCAATTGTTTGGGGAAAAAATATTCCGTCCGGACATTCGCACGGCCAACCCCTGGGTTTCACGTAGGTGCCCGATATTTGGTTATCCGAACATGCAGTATCTGGACGAAATATTTTCTCATTATTTGGTGGTCATTAACTTCTTCGCCGCAAAATGGGACCCAAAATTGGCTTTGCCATGTATGCATATTGCATTTATATTTGCTCAAAAATGTTGAAAAAGAAATCTATATCAATCTCCATTTTTCAACCTTGAAAGTAACATAAATACATAAGAATTTGATATTTACTCTTATAGCATATTTTAATGTCATAGACTCATAAATCTATGCATCAAAATATGTATTTCACTTCTAAAAAATTAATAATTATAACATTTATAATGTAATGTTATAATGAGTGTTAAATGCGTAAATATCAAAATTCAGGTGGTTAGATATCAAAATACATAAAAATTACAGGGTATGAATGTAAATGCCCCCAACAAAATACAATAGAGATGAAATAGAGATGAAGTAAGCTCGAGGCTTTATCCAATCAAAATTGATTCACTGATCTTGATTAATCATTGGATGTTAAAAACATTAAATATAATACTTTAAACTTAAGAAATATAGTCTTTTCAACGAAAACATATTCCGTCCAAATGTCCGGAAGACCAACCACTGACCGTCATGTCCCTATAGAGATGAAGTAAGCTCGAGGCATTATCCAATCACAATTGATTCACTGATCTTGATTAATCATTGGAGCCAACTATCAAAAAAATTAAATATAATATTTTAAACTTAAGAAATATAGTCTTTTCAACGAAAAAATATTCCGTCCGGATGTCCGGAAGACCAACCACTGACCGTCATGTCCCTTGCCGATGAGGTGTATGGCAACGTGGCCGCCGCTGGTTGGCCGTCCGGACATGCGGGATCTGGACAAAAAAATTTCTCTCGCTCGAGGCTTTATCCAATCAAAATTGATTCACTGATCTTGATTAATCATTGGATGTTAAAAACATTAAATATAATACTTTAAACTTAAGAAATATAGTCTTTTCAACGAAAACATATTCCGTCCAAATGTCCGGAAGACCAACCACTGACCGTCATGTCCCTTGCCGATGAGGTGTATGGCAACGTGGCCGCCGCTGGTTGGCCGTCCGGACATGCGGTATCTGGACAAAATATTTTCTCTCAATAAAGCAAAACAATGATGAAGTATCATGTAACAATTGATGATAAATAAAAGTTGTGCAAAGAGGATGAAACATCTCATGTAACACTCAACAACGATTAAATAAAAGACTGCAAAGAATTTACAAAGCTGACAACAACTTGGGATGATGATGGAGTTGTTCATGTCACCAAGATTCCATTCCAACTCTTCTCAAGAAAGCAAATTATTCAGTCCGAGAAACAGCAAAACAAAACAATAGTTTTATTCACTGAGAATGGGAACAATCAACGGTTTCATCTGTGCAACGTATACAATCGCCCACCTAACAGCAAAAAATAATAACAATAAGAAGAGGAATTTACATACATACCATTTAGTTCTTATTTATTTACATATATAGCACCTAAATTTAACACATTTTACATTTACATCACCCAAATCTCTCATCATATTGCATAAAAACTATCGCTATTTTAACTTGTTTAAGTGAATGCACATTTTCATGCATAGATAAGGTGGGATATATATACACATATGTGTGTGTGTGTGTGTGTTTGAGAATTGAGGTTTAGATGTCAGATATGTAAATACATAGGAATTTAGGGGTAATTATGTAAATCTTCCTAACATAATAATAATGGAAAAAAAATGAGGTAAGAAACAAATGAATGTTTCAAGGCAGAAGTCACATGTGATGTTCAATTTGAACAAAAATAGCAGAAATCAATGTTTGTTCTATTAAAATGTGTGTTCCCACTCTCTTGAATGGTGAGAAAAAACCAATGTAGAAGAGCTAAATATTGGAACTGTTGATTCCTTTTGGGATGTTAGGCCTCGTATCGTTCGTGGGAGAGATCTCATCAAAAAGGGTGAAAGAAGAGGATGGAGGTGTTCTCCGAGTAGGAATTCTCCGTATCTCAGATGATCTTCTCTGGTAGGATGGAGGAGATGATTTAATCTCTTACTAAAAGCACACGAGAGAGAGAGAGAGAGAGAGAGAGAGAGGGATAACATTATAAAGAAAAAAGAATATAACCTAATCATATATGTCGAACATGCTTTATTTTAAATCAAAGCATAAACAAAATAAATAAAAATAGAAAATAGAAAAAATTGATCCCAAGTGGCCCCCAAACTTTAATTTTTAGTTTTTCATTTGTTGTTTTTATTTTCATTCTTTTATCTTTTAATTTAAGTTAAATTAAAGTATGTTTGATTGAGGTAGTTATTTTTAAAAACACTCAAAAATCTCTTTTAAGTGTTTTGAGCTTTTTAAGAACAAATATTTTAAAACAAGTTGATTTATTTTTAAAAATATTAAATATATATATATATATATACATATAAAAATTATACGAACTAAATATGTTTAAAAAAAACAATAATAAAAAAATAATAAAAAATCAGGAAATAAAAGTGATGCCAAACAGGTCCTAAGTAATTTACTTTTAGAAGACGCCAAGAATTGATAATGTCAAGATTTAAATCACCCGAGAAAAAAAAAAAAAAACTCATAATATATGTATCAGAATTAGGGGTTCAATCCACCTAAAAAAACTTGAAAAAATCATAAATCAATGGATTTGGGAGTTCACTAAGGTATTCATGTGATGCCAGAACTTACATCATCCAACAGCATGTTGTAGCAGTAAGTATCAATGTCAAGTGCAACCTGCATCATAAAATTTTATTCTGAATTAAACAGTGGCCGCTATAAGCTTAACTCCTAAACTTACATATTTACATACATGACACTCAAATCTTGACATCACATCAAAAATACCACTACACTAACTCCTTAAAAGTGAAATACACCTTTCATGCAATGTATCATAAATGTAAATATCAAACTTTAGGTGTTAGATATGTAAATGCATACGAATTGTGTGGCAGGTATGTAAATTTCCCTTAGCTATATTATTACCAGGTTATGCAGACTTAAAATCATTAGCCAATAATGCAAAGTATTTTCACAATTACGTCTTGTTTAATACTATTGCTTAAGAGGGTGGGCCTGATATAACGGCTAGATGGCCTCCATTAAATCCTCCATGATTCTACATCAGTGATAAACTTAAATACTAAGAACTTGCTCTAAGGAATTACCAGTTATGTTAGTACTGATAACTATGAACAACCGACGAGGAACACATACCAGAGTTGTTCATAAACTCAACTGAATCAAAAACTCTTCTGCTTTTGTGTGAAGGTTGGCTGTTGTGAATCAACAATGTAAACTTGTTATTAGTCAATTAAATGTGGCAAGTTAATTCCAATTAGAGTACGAAAATATTCCTGTGACTATTTACACGGCGCTATTTTAGTCCCAGAGTTTATAAAAGTGTCCAGATTAAAAGAATCAAGAGAATAAATTGACACTTTATAAACTTTGGGAGCAAAATGGCCCCCGTGCAAAGAGTCTGAGGATTATTTTGACAATTAACTCATTCCAATTAATTAGCTTGAAATGACCTTATATATTATAAATACCCCCATTTAAGGAGAATGATGGAATAAGAAAGATGATGAGTGAGTTCCCCTATTTGATCTTCTTCTTTTGATACTTGAAGGAGAAACAGAGCAGCTTGAAATGTTTTAATTAGGATTTTGGATCCTAAGAATGGTTCTTTCATTGCAATGTCTTTTTCTTATTGAGAAATTTTTTGTTAGGCATCGTTTCCTTATCCGCCTTGCGCATTATGCCTGCCGCTATCTCTAATTCCATTCATTGAAGCCTTATCCATCGCATTCTCGTTGATCACTTTCCTTCTATTGCCATCAAAACCACACAAATCTCAGCTAACCCAATTGCATGTTCGCAACTATTGTTGCTAAAAAAATTGCAAATTCGCCCAAGATCTTTCATTCTATTCCTAGCAAAATGTAGATCTCCACCAAATCAGTCATCTTCCCAATGCCATATAAAACCACCAAACATAAAATTGGCTATTTCAGCATCTTTTTTCTTTCAAACACCTCACAAAGACAACAAATTTGAACGAATGATGAAATGAAAAAAAAAAGAAAAAAATTGATTAATGACTGCATTACAACAACAACAATAACAACAAAGCCTTAATCCCACTACGTGGGGTCGGCTACATGAAGATTAATAACTGCATCAAGAAAAAAAAAACAAAGGAACAAATTTCATCGATCGGATGTTTGACCAGCAGCAATTATAACTTAAGTCAATGATAGAAGAGAGTTTGATAAGCGATTTAAGAACATCTGTGCAATATAATTCTTCTTAGTCATTACCTCATGCTCATTCAATAATCATTAAAATCCATAATGATGGCCTTTTTAAGATTGATCAATTCATTTCTTACCATAATTTGCTTGACTTTCAATATTTCATTACTTCATCGATGTGATCTGATATTGAGCTATTAACTTATATATATTCGAACAAACTGTTGAGTTTTTGAAATTCTTTCAAACAAAAAAAAAAACTACAACATTTTGGTTATCCTTTTGAGATCATTGAACTTGCTCTTGGAGATTAACCCTTACATGATGAAAAGTTATGGCATGACAGCAAGACTGATCCTAAAGAATTATGACTAGATATAAAGTTGCCATCTTACCTGCGGATAAATAAAAAGAAGATGATTTACATACATATCACTCAATTCCTATGAACATACAAATCTAAAAGCTAAACATCAATTTTTACATACATACATGAAAATGTGTATTCCACTTTCTAAAAGTTAAAATGGAAGTATTTTTTATGTGATAATAAATGAAAGATTTTGGTAGTGTAAATGAAAAAAAGTAAAGTTTAGTTGATTGATATTTAGTTAGTTAAAAGTGGTTACTTCATTGTAGTTAATTAGTTTGGATCGCTTGGTATTCTATAAATGTTATTTTCGTGGAGAATAATGGGAAATGAAAAATGATGTAGGAGTTTCAAGTTTCTATCTTCTTCTTCCTTACTTGAGTATCTCTAACAACTTTCACATTACTGAAGAGTCTCATAAGAGTTAATAAAGTTAGTGCATTTGCATGAATACCACCCAATTCTTATGTATTTATATATCTACCCAAACTTAGCTTTTTTACTTTCATATCACCCAACTATTTCATATCACGTTAAAAATACCATTATTTTAACTTTTAAAAATGTAAAATACATCTTTTGATGCATAGATAAGATGACATATACGTAAAAATTGAAATTTAGGAATTAAATATGTAAATATAAATCTTACTAACAATTATCAAGATGACGTATAAAGCACTTAACTCTTACTCACTAAGAAATGGGAATATAGCTATCATGGTTAAAATGCAAAGTTTCAAATTTAAGCAAGGAAAAAGCTCACACAGCGCCTGATGCTGCTTATGTTCATAATTTCAACGATTGTCAACACATTAACTGACTCTAAGGTAAACATCAACAAAATCTTCATTTTTAAAATGCTCAAAATTAAGCTAAATAATCCATCAAAAGCATAAAAAATAAGCTGATATTCACTTTTCAGAATGCGATTATGATTAAGTAATAGTTTTAGCAATTGATTTTAGAATAACATTGCAAAGGTGTGATCTGAAGAAACCTAAAAAATTTGTAAATCACTCCAATGATGAAAGAAAAGTACATTCTAACTTCATTAGAACAAAAAAAAAAGCTAAAATTCACAAAATCTTCAGCTTTTGCATGCGAGCTTGAGGCATCAGTAACTGCATAGGATAAATGCTAAGAATAGAAAGGATTAGAGCGTTACAGATTGGTGGAGGGACCTCGGTTGAGGCAGATCCTGACGGAGAGGGAGGCGACGACGCCGGCAATGAGAAAGATTAGGGATGTAACCAAGAATCCCATGGCCGCTTTCTTCCTCTCAACGAGGGCTCAAGATCACAGTTACAGTTAGATTATCGGGAGAAGATCAACCAAAAACGACGATTTCTCTCGTTCGAAGAGCGATTAGAGAAATTAGCGAAAGAGAGTAGAGCATTTATCCGAGGAGCGTCGCGGATTAGGTTGGGAGAAAGGAGAGCCGCAGGACGAGGAAGAAGAAAGGGGAAAGAACTGCTGCTCTGGAAAAACACCGAACAGCTTCTGCATTATTGCATAATATCTATATAAATATGTGGCATGATAATTATGTAGGTTTGGTTGAAGAAAATTTAATTTAATGAATGAGTTTTAGAATATCAAATTTTATCTAACACAACTATAATATAAATTTGATTAATGAAAACTTGATTAAAGAATTTTAAAATAATTAAATGATTATAAGCTTATCATAATTAAGTTTAGACAAAACATATTTAATAATTTGTCATGTATTTTGATGCCAGGAGAGTGTTGCTTGCTTAGTTATCTAAAAAGAATAAAAAGTATTTTTTTGGCCAAAAAATCTCATAATTTGTATGATATTTGATAACCACAATAAATATTCACTATCCAACACGAGTCTCAAAGCATGACTAGATCTCCATGTATTTTTTTCAAAGAAACATTCAACCTAGAATTTTAATTTTGACAAACTTATAGTTAAACTGACTGATTTGACAAGATAGATCCCATAATACCAAAATCGATCAAATCTGAGTCAAATTAAATTCAAATCAAGCAATTAAATCACTTACATATTCTTTACGAGCATAATTGGAAGGTCAAACAAATTCCGAATATGACCTATTTATTGTCAGCATCTCGGCAGGAAGAATCCAACGAGCTAAATATCACTCAATTCTGACATCATTATGATACTGAAATATTAATCAAATGTTGTCCAATCAAAGTGGTCTCTCTAAGCAAGACGATCGAATGTGGTATGAATTTCTTCCTTATTGGCGATCTCTAGCCCCCCTCATGAGAGAGGACATAGACCACGAGCAAGAGGAATACCAGAGTCTGCAGAAAAAGAAGATGCAGCCTAGCATTTTGTGTCACGGATTCGACCAATTTTAGTTGTTGCTATTTTCAACCTTCGCTACTTCCGACCAACTTTGACTGACTTCCGACAATGGACAAAACTAGTCGACACCCCCCTCCAGTCGGTTACTATTAATCACTATTGGTTGTAGCTCGCTATTTAGTGCAGGGCAACAAGTCATTTCACTCACAGACGTTGTAATCTGAGAAAATGTGTAACCATTTTTCACTTGTGAAATAAGAAGTTATACATTGAATCATTAACTCACACTGAAATATTTTAACTTAGCAAAATCCAGTAATTTTTTCCCTATCCAAAATTTCACGTAAAAATTTATAGTGTCTCTATTGATTATCTTATTTTATCTGAGCATTTGTTGAATTCTCATATAATTCTAAGATAACAATTCAGTGTTCTACAGTCACGAATCTTCTAGCACGCATGAATATTACCAATTTTTTAAGTCATATTATTAATAAAACTGAGCATATGATGGATATTACGTCCCGGTTTCAAACGAGTCATTTGTTACCGACTTAATTACCTTCTATTTGGGTTCATTTGTTCAATAAAAAATTTGAAAATAAATTCTAAATTTTTTTAAAGTCCCGGTTTCAAACGAGTCATTTGTCACGAACTTAATTACCTTCTATTTGGGTTCATTTGTTCGATAAAAAATTTGAAAATAAATTCTAAATTTTTTTAAAATATATTAAATTGTCATTAATTTCTTAAATTTAATAAGAAAATAATATTAATTTTAAAATTTTAAATATATTTTCGAAAGTTAAGCAAATACATAGGAATTGGTTGGTATGTATGTAAATGCCCCAATGAGAGTTCAAGTTAATTCACTTAAACTCAAATTGATCAAAAACATCCTTTTTTTTACCTTTTTTTTTTCAACAATTAACAGAAAAAACATATCTTACACAGTCATCATCTCCCTAAGCTTCTGAAATAACCAACAAAAATTCCAACTGAATCTGTAATATTAAACAGAAACAAGACTATCATGACAGACAAAGTTCTGCACTTGCTTCAGCATGTACCATCTATAATTTAAGATCAACTCAAATAACATCATGATAAATCCAATCAAATCAACCTATTTCATTTGCAACAGAATTACCAGTATCAATCATACTACAGTTCCTTACAACAATTTTATACAAACTAAAAACTCAAAAAACAACGCAGAGCCAAACTATTTTCTGAAAAAAACTATACTGAAACTGCTTCTATTTACAATCCTGTACTGCAAACCTGTTCAGTATGAATCTGAAAATCTATAAATTTAGCTGTTTTTATCAATTAAAATAAGCTCAGGACGCACAAGTTATGGGTGGTGGATTTGAATTATGAAGCAGGAGATTGGTTGAATTGTAGAAGGAAATGATCCCGTTTCTGCAGAGAGGGCAAGGGATTGCTCCAGGTGGATCCATATTTTCAGATGAGCTGCTGCTTGCTGAACAAAGGCAGAGCGCGCATTTTATGCACAGTTCATGCCTGCAACCTGAATAATCAACTTATGATTATTGATTATTGTAGAGATGAGTGGTATGTATGTAAATCTTCCAATATGAGCGAGTACTATCAGCAATAATAGATCAAATCACTAAATTTAGGGGAGAACAAAGGATGATACAACTGACCTTCAGCAGCTACAGAGCAAGTTCTTTCCAAGCAAATAGCACAAAGATCGCTGTCGTCGGCCGACGTGGATAATGAATTTAGGCCGCCGCCGCATTCTCTGAAAGGAGTTGCATTTTATAAAAAAAAATGAGATCTTTAGAATAAGCGAATCAATGAAATTTTAACTTGGGAGGTTTTTACATTTTACTTCCACATTATACCAATTCGAACAAAGAAAATGCCAAAAACGATACAGATGATTTTTATATACTTACTCTAAAGGACTAAATAAAAAGAAATCAAAATAGGAAAAAATTATCAGAACTATAATGTCAAATATCTTTCGAGCAGATCATTCAACAGCTATAATGGCTTCTGCAGAGCTCCATCCATGGATTTCCTATTCATTCTCAAGTGCCCCTCTTATGAGGACGCCCACACAATGTTTATCTAAAATTTATACATTAACATTGCTGATAGTTGAAAGAAGAAAGCAATGATATACCACTCAATCCTTATTTTTTTTACATATCCACCTTACCTATGCATGAAAGGTGTATTTCAACTTTTTTTCAAGTTAATATAGGGATACTTTAGATTTGATATTGTACATTGAAAATGTGCGAGCGTTGATCTT